GATCCTTTGTAAGTCATGTCATGGTCATGCGTGTGCATAATTTTGAAGCGATATCTCCCAAATCTCAATGGATTGGTCTAAGGGAAAATCTTTATCGGAAACCAATGATTTTCCCATTGCATGTGGGGTTTTCCTGTATATTTTCCCGTGAAAACCAATCCATTGAAAATTTGCCATCAATTTTGCGCACATGTGTGGAAAGGGACGGGACCTTTCCAAATTTGTGGATGTCCTTTTCGTGAAACTTGAGTTTCTGAGATACCCAGGGTTGATGTCGAAAATACCAACATTTTGGCTGACCAAACAACATCAAACAACTTTTCTGGGTCATAAGTTGTGGTTGAGATATGTTGGTATATGTTGGTATATAGTGGTATATAGTGGTATATAGTGGTATATAGTGGGATATAGTGGTATATAGTGGTATATAGTGGTATATAGTGGTATATAGTGGTATATAGTATATAGTGGTATATAGTGGTATATAGTGGTATATAGTGGTATATAGGGGTATAGAATGGTATAGAATGGTATAGAATGGTATATAATTGTATATATATATATATACAATGGTATATTATATGAGAAAATCCAACTGTCCTTTCAGGTACATCATGCTGCCACACATGTCCAGGTTCGATTGACCGCTGCATCTACTGGCCCGAAGGGCGCCCTTTCCGCTACAGGAAAAGACCGTTGCTTGCACCACGCCGCTGTGTGCTTTCTGATGGTAAGCGGAGCCCTTTGACTAGGGCATACGCTTCGCTGCTGCGCTCCTGCACCAGCGCTACTGCGCCTCTACTTCCTTGCCAAGACCTACGGTGGTTGCGGCATCTACGTGCCTGGGTTGAGCTGCTACTCCCTTGGCTTTGCACTACAAGCTCGATGAGCTCTACGGCATCCATGTCTGGGTTCTCAGTGAATGGAAGGTTGGAAACGGATAGACATGGTGTTCCACAGTTTGCTGGAGAGGTAGAATACCTAGAAGAGTACCTAGAGCGTGCATGGGATTTGTTTCATGGACGTGAGGGTCAGGATTCACTCCAAATAGCAACGCCTCTTCACCTTCGTGCCCAACTACAAGGTACTGCATATGAAGCTGTGCGCAAACTGAGTCACAGCGAACTTCGAACCAAGACTGCAGAGGGCAAGGCCACTGAAGAGGGCATGAACTTACTCCTGAACACGCTGAAGGGCAGCTTGGCCACTGAAGCGCCTGTCCGGGTCCAAGAGTTGTTTTTGGAGTACTTCTACAGCAAAGAGGTGTGGAGGAGAAACAATGAGACCATGGCACAATACATAGTGCGAAGGGAGTTGTCCTTTGCCAGACTCAAGGAGGCCAACAGTGAAACCAACTTGAGCGACAACTTGAAGTGCATGCTACTCTTGCTCTTTTCAGGTTTGGATTTACGTGAGCAGCAGGGCATCCTTTCGTCAGTGAACAACGAGTATGACTACAAGAAAGTGTCTCATGCATTGAGGATTCAGTTCCCCAATGTGACCTCTACGCGACCTGTGGTTCGAAAAGATTTCCTGGGAACTGGACGTGGGAGCAATCAGCTCTCGATGCACAGCAGAGCGCGCTGGAAAGGTTTCCCCAAGAAGCAGATCTTTGCTGCGGAGTTTGAAGATGAGGACATCCTTGAAGATGACGAGGTTTTTGCTGAGGAAGAGTCCCCTGAATATGAGCAGGTGGATGACGAGACCTATGTGGCCTACTCTGAGGACGAAACCTTGGAGACCTTGATGAATGAGGTGCCGCCGGAAGCTTTGGAGGATGAAGCCGTTGCTGAGGCCTTTGCGACCATTGCTCAGCATCGCGGCTCTTTCAAGAAGAAGTTCATCAAGCGTCCGAACCCTAGCTCTTCGGCAACTCAGACGTTCCCCTTCAAGGCCCAGGGTGAGATGAGCCTTGACCAGAAGGCCAAAGACCAGAGAAAGGCTGCCGTCTCCTTCCTGAAGACGGTCACTCAATGCACAGCATGCAATCAGAAGGGTCATTGGGTTGGAGATCCTGAATGTCCTCGTGCTTCCAAGAAGGGTGGAGGATCCAAAGGTCATGGAAAGTCTTCTGGCAAGGCATCCCCGAAGAAGAAGCCTGGATCGCCTGTCAAGAAGAGCACCAACTTTTTCGTGCTGCATGACAAGATCGAGTCTGACGATGAGCAACTTGTCCACTATGCGCACAAGATTTCCTTTGACCTCTCTCCTGACTCCAATGCAGTTCCTGCGAATGACATGACTTTTGCGTATGACCTGGCCCCTGCATATGAGCCCACTCCAAAGAATGTGCACACTTTTGAGTATACGCACGTTTCTGAGAATGACCAGGTCCATGAATATGACAAGGTCCCTGACGAGACCTACGGAAACCCAAGCGATGTTCAAAACCGTTTCACTGATTCCTTGCCAGTCGAGACCAAGTGTTTCGATGTGATGATGGCCCTTCGCGCCCCTCAACTTTGCGAGCATGCGTCATACCATGGTGGATCTGAGCGCCAATTCCATCGTGGGGCAAATGGCCACACGAGACACATCACCTGCAAAGAGTGCAACAAGAATGTCATCGTGGCCAGACGCAAAGAACCTGTTCAGCTTTGGGCCTATTTGACCCAAATTGCAATGTGTACGAAGTGGGGTTCAGCGGCAAAATCCAGAGAGCTCGCTGCCCGCGTTGCACAGTTGACTGTTGCAGGACTACCTGGTGGTGAAGTTCCTGCAGATCCCAAGTATGGCCCGAGGCCTGATCCACCTTCAGTGCCATACCCTGTGCAAGATCAACAGCGACATCATGAAGCTGGTTGGCAAGTTCTTTCTTCACCTTCCTCTCCGGGTTCAACATCAACCACTGCGAAGCAGCCACCAATTGCCAAGATTGTGCGTGGTCAACAGCGCGGCCAACAAGCATCTGTATGGCTCTATGGTGTGAAGGTTGACCCCTTTGAGGAGTTGCCACCATTTCCTGAACTTCCACAAGAAGAGCTCGGCATCTTGCAGCCCCTGCCGGGCGATCAAACCTTGTTCTCAGATGGACCATTTGCTGGCAGACCCTTTTGTGAGGTGGCATCATACCCCTCGCCTGACTTCACCTCCTACAACATCCAAGTGATGCAGATGGCTTTGGGAAACCAGCCGATGGCCCCAGAGATCTACAGGTACGCCTTCTACCTGTTTGGCAGACTGCGTTTGGTCAATCTCTCAGCGATGCGGATGATGAAGTCCACGGAGCTTGAACCACATCAACTTTTGGGCAAGCGCACCCAAGATCCTGCTCAGATGGAAACCAGCAGGTGCATTCAAGTTCCACTTCAACACCATCCTGATGATGTTCATGCAGTCTCCATTCACTACTGCGATGTGATGATGGTCGAAGATGCCAACGACCTCGTTGACGTCACTGTCAACTACTCCCTCTCTGAGCTGGACGCACCTGGCCTTGCAATCCTTGACAGCGGCTGCACGAGAACTATGCATGGCAGCAGCTGGGCCAAGTCCTTTGAAGAAGTCTTGAAGACCAAGGGCTTGATCCCTCAGGTCAAGGACAAGGTGCAACGTTTCAGAGGAGTTGGTGGTGAAACCATTTCAAATCATGTCAAAGTTTTTCCTGTCGGCATTGGTGGAGCACATGGCTCACTTCACTCAGCCGAAGTCGAAGGCACGACACCACTTTTGCTTTCAAGGCCTTTCATGCAAGAGCTTGGCACGGTCATCAATCTTTCTGACAATACCGTCTCTTTCAAGGGCTTGGGAGTTGTGGACTTGCCTCTGATCCGGACCTTCCGGGGTCACATGGCCGTCAGCCTTTTGGACTTTGGCGACGACCTCCTTTCAGGCTTCGATGGATTTCGAACCGATGGACTTCAGCCTGCGGAACCAGAGGGATCTCCCAGCCACTACTCCTTGCCAAGCGATGCTGCGTCAAGCACTGATGGCAACCATCCTCCGGGAGATGGACTTGGACTTGACTCCCTGGTGGATGCGATGCAGCTCTTGAGGCCGACCAATGATGAACAACTTGCGGCAGAAGACAGCCCAAAGCCTCCTCCAAGCGATGCAGCCTCGAGCAATGCCGGCTATGAACCTCCCGGCTATGAACTTTCCCTACTTGATGAGCTTGAGATCATCGGGCCTGCTCCCGGCTGGCGACTTGAAGATGAAGAATGCTTGGTTTGCGAGGACGAAGACCTGTTTGAGTCCTATGTGGCTGAGGGCGACTTCACTGTCCGCAAGACCACCAACAAGAAAGGCAAGAAGCTAGCCCTCATGAATGATGTGCTCGAGTCTGAAGATCTTCTCAGGACTCGGAAGCTTCAAGGCCGATCCTCTGTCAAGATCAACAACAAGCCTCCAGTTGGACGCACTTGGATCAAGCAACTCTTCGCTGGGCAGATGGGTTTGACAACCTTGGCAACTTTCTACGGCATGTTGGTTGGAGTGCCATTGGATTCTTCCATCACTTCATGGGATGCAACTTCTCCCACTGGATTGACCAGGGTTCACCGAGACATGAAGCATGAGGATCCATACCTCACGGTGATCACACATCCCTGCGGACCTTGGGGTAACTGGTCAAAGTTCAACATTGCCAAGGGTGGCCAATCTGAGATCACTGTCCTCAACTTGCGCGAAGAGTCACGACCCTTGCTACGTTTGGTCAACAAGGTCATCACTGACAGGGTCAAGGGCAAGAGACATGTTTTTGTCGAACAGCCTTATGGCTCCGACAGCATTGAAGAGCCCGAGATGGCTGAAACCCGTGCCCTGATCGAAAATGGCTCTCTGATGGCTTTGAAGGTTGACGGCTGCCAAGTTGGGTATTGTGATCGAGAAAATGGACTTCCTCATCACAAGCCCAGCTACTACTTGACAACCATGCTGGCAGCCGAGTCTGTGTTTTCCGACTGCAAGTGCGACTGCCTGCAACATCAACCACTTGAAGGAGCCAACAAGTTCGGTCCAAGAACTGCTCAAGCTGCTGAATGGCCAAAGAAACTTGACCAGATGGTTTTGGAATGCGCAATCCAACAAGCGCACATTGAGCAGCATGTCTTTGAGGAGTCCTTGGCCGCGACTCATGATGCCTTTCCAACACGTCCTGTACCTTCACCTGCTCAGACCTCTTCACCAAAGCGGAGAAGGAGACAAGGACGGGTATCAACCTTGACCGAACAATACCAAGCACCACCAGTGTACGTCAGACCTGACGCCTCTGGAGACCTTCCTGATGAACTACCGGTTCCACAACAAGATGCGGAAGGTGACCAAGACTTCCGGGCCAGACAGGCCTATGACCTCGATCCCATCTTGAACAAGTCTGAGGGTGAGAGGCGAACTGAATGGCTCCAGATCGACCCTGAGATCCGCAAGATTGTGCGGGACCTCCACGTGAACTTTGGTCATCCATCAGCTGTGACACTTCAGCGGATCTTGAGACGCCAAGGCGCCAAGATTGAAGCTATCAAGGCCGCTGGACTTATGGCTTGTGATAGCTGTGGTGAATCCATCAGGAGAAAACGACCACGACCAGTACGACTCCCCAACCAGTATGAGTTCAACAGGCATCTCCTTTTGGACACCATGTATGCCAAAGATTCACGAGGAACTACTTTTGGTTTCATCAACATTGTCGATGATGCAACTGGATTTCAAGTTGTTGCTTGTGTTGGTGAAGTTCAAGGTCCTCCTGCCTCACGAGCAGTCCTGCGCCACTTCACGACCTCTTGGTCTTCATGGGCTGGCCTTCCACACTCCATCCAAGTTGACCGCGGCAAAGAGTTCATGGCCATTTTTGCGGACCACTTGAAGCAGTTTGGAGTTGAACAAGAAGTCATGCCTCTTGAAGCTCCATGGAAGGGAGGCAAATGTGAGAAAGCAGGCGACCTGTGGAAGGAACTATGGGCCAAAGTCGTTCACGAGTCACAGATTTCTGGACTTGACGATGTCTTGACCGCGACATCAATCGTGACTCAGACCCGAAATTCCTTCCCAAGAACAAGCGGCTACAGCCCCATTCAATGGGTCCTTGGAGTACCAGAACTTCGACTTCCTGGCTCCTTGCTCAATGATGAAGAGTCCCAAAGACTTGAAGTTCTTGAAGCTGCTGAGAATCCCGCCAGCCAGATGGCGAAAACACTTGCCATACGCGAAAGCGCCAAGATTGCCCAGATCAAGATGGACACTGATGCTCGTGTCAGAAGAGCGCTGCTGAGGCAATCAACGCCTGTGAGAGGCCCCTTCCCAGTTGGTTCCTACGTGTATTTCTACCGTGCCCAACAACTGCCTGGCACTTCTCGACAGTACAAATGGTTTGGGCCAGCTCGCGTGATTGGAGTCGAGCTGAGAAATCCACGTCGTCTTGAAGATGCAGACGCGCCAACTGAAGGAGGTGCCCCACACTCCTATTGGATTCGCTATGGGCCCAGTGTCATTTTGACCACTGGCGAGCAGATGAGGTTTGCAAGTGAGGACGAGCTTTTGGCCGCTCACACCGTGCCCCACTATGCTGTTGCAAACCTGCAGCTTCGAGGAGCAAGATCTTTCATCGACATCAGACCCTTGGGTGCTCCGCGACCAATGCAACGACATGCACAACATGAACAAGGACAACAACAACCAACACCTCACACATCCAACACAACATCATCATCTTCATCACCATCTCTTTTTCAACCTCCTCAACGAGCTCAACAACAACAAGCACAACAGGTACTTCCACCTGTACCCGAGAATGATGAGTTTGATTTGGAAGCAGCGATTGACGCTGCCGACACCGAGACTGCCAATGCGCCCATGACGCCACAGATTGCATTACAGCCTCAACCAGTTGAAGTACAAGCTCCCCAACTAGCCCACACTGGGCATTTGCGCCAGCGAACGGCTGAGGAACCTGAGCCCCAGCCAACAAGACCTGCGACACCAAGACTTGCCGTGACTGAGCCAGCCAGATCAACGACACCAAGGCCACCTTTTGCTGCACCTGGGACTCCCAGTTTGACCACTGCGATGCAACAACCTGATCTACTTGATGGTCATGGAACAGGCCCTGTCCGAGCCCTACGTCCAACAGCTCAAGCACGATTGCGTGAGTCGGGACCATACTATGTGGATGAGGAGCCCTGGGAGGAAGTTTGGCCTGGTATCAGCACTGCCGTGCAAAGACGTCGCCGACTTGAACTAGCTGGTGACCTTTCTGGAAGCTCTGAAGAGCTGGAGCCTGAGCAAGAAAGCAATCTGAACTATGCCTTCATGACCGGCAAGGCAGCCAAGTCAGAGATCAACATCAACAGCCTCAGCCCTGAAGATCGGAAGCTTTTTGACGCCTCCATGCTCAAAGAATGGACTTCATGGCAGAAGTTTCAAGCAGTTGCTGAGCTGACGGAGGAAGAGATCCAATCGTTGCCACAGGACACCAAAGTCATTGGCACCAGGTGGGTTCACACTGACAAGAATAGCAAGCCAAGGCTCATTGCCCGGCACATGGCCAAGAAGACGGGAAAGACCAAAGAACAGGTCGACAAGGAGTTCCCATTCGAAGCCAAGTCACGGCTTGTTGTTCAAGGTTGTCAAGAGGATGAGCAGAACATACGCTCTGATTCACCAACATGTTCTTTGCTTGCTTTCAATTTGGTTTGCTGCATTTCCGTTTTGATGGGATGGATTGCAGCAGCATATGATGCCTCCACTGCATAACTCCAGAGTCATGGAATTGCCCGACTTCTGGTCCTGCGTGCACCTCGGCCACCACCACCTGGAGTTCAGCCAGGCACACTTTTCAGGGCTCGTGGTAGCATATATGGGACGAAAGATGCTGGCCGCAGTTGGTGGATTAAACTGCTTCATGATGCGAAGGAATGTGGATGGATCCTCTCCCAGATTGAGCTAGCCCTCTTCTACCTCTACGATGAATCAACCTCTCCACCTGCTTTGATTGGAGTCATGGCAAGCCACGTTGATGATTTGATTACTTGTGGCTTTGGTGAAAAGTACGAAGTATGCATGAAGGAGCTCACTAAACGCCTTCACCTGAAGAAGAAGGACACTGAGTTTCGTTTTTGTGGAAAGAACTTAATCCAGCATGCTGACAAGTCGATCTCTCTGGAACAGGTCGATGCCATTGAAGGCCTGGAGTACCAGATGCTCGACAAGCACAGAAGAAAGTTTCCAAACCTGCCACTCTCTGAAGAAGAAAAGAGCGAGTTCAGAGCCTTGATTGGAAGTATGGGTTGGATAGCACGACAGACGAGGCCTGACGTTATGGTGAATGTCAGCATTGCCTCCCAAAGCATTGGCCACCCATGCATCAAGAATGTGATTGACCTCAACAAGGCCGTCAAGATGCTGAAGGATAGCGCTGATGCCCAATGGTGCTTCAAACCTTCCAATCTCACTTTGGAAAACTGTGCTGTTTTTGTATGTGCTGATTCAAGTTTTGCAAACACAGAAGGTTTGCGATCTCAGTGCGGATACCTGGTAGGCTTGACTCTGCCCTCCATCAAGGATGGCACCGAGACACCAGTCCTCATTTTGGAGGCGACATCTACATCAATCAAACGTGTTTGCCGTAGCACCCTGGCAGCTGAAGCGAACTCATTTCTTGCAGGTGTTGAAGCTGGAATTTACGTGGCTTCTCTCTTGCGAGAGATCATGCATCCCCATGTGCCGCTGACCACTCTCGAGACAGAGTATGCGCTCAAACCAGTACTGGCATTTACCGATGCGAAAAGTTTGCAGTCCACCGTTGCCAAGGATGCTGGACAGCCCACAGACAAGCGAGTGAAAATCTTGGTTGCGCAAGTGCGCGAGCTGATGCAGGAAGGGTGTGAGATCATGTGGATCGACACCAGCCAGATGCTTGCCGATGTTTTAACCAAGGTTGGATGTGAACGTGAATTGCTGCAGGAAGCTTTGTCCTCTGGAACATGGAAACTGGCTCCTACCGAAGAAGCGCTGAAAAAGAAGGAGCAGATCCGCGCCGGAAGACACCAGCGAAAGCAGCTCAAAAAAAAAGAGCCAATCTGCACCTGAGGACGGGTGAGAAAATCCAACTGTCCTTTCAGGTACATCATGCTGCCACACATGTCCAGGTTCGATTGACCGCTGCATCTACTGGCCCGAAGGGCGCCCTTTCCGCTACAGGAAAAGACCGTTGCTTGCACCACGCCGCTGTGTGCTTTCTGATTATATAATGGTATACAATGGTATATCATGGTATATAATGGCATATAATGGTATATAATGGATCCCCAATCGTGAACCACCAGAATTTTGGTCCTCTGTGTCAACCCACAGGGCAGCCGCCCTGGCAGCCAAGAAACGACCTAGTGCAAGGAAGTGAGTCACTTGGAGTTTGATGGCTGATGGATATGGAGGTTTCCTAAGCCATGGGGGTACTCCAGTTATCATCCAAGTTATGGCATCCAGTCGTTATGGATGACCATGACTTCGTATTGAAACGTATGGTGACTATGGAGGACACCTCCATATCATGTGCGGCTCATTTTAGTGATAAAACGTGAAAGAGCCTGGAAAAGATTTTTTTTTCACTGTGTGTATAGCATGAAGGTCTGGCTCAGGATTCGCGGCCCCACCGTTCCTATCCTTTAGCCTGACCTTAGCGGGTGCCGTTGACATACCCGCGGGTCCATTGGCGTTTGACGCATCGGGCCTTTCATCTAAGACTGAACTGCTGTGCGCTGGTCTTTATTCTTTGGCAACGTGCATCATTGGGTGCAGGTGATTTTCCCTGGACCGTACTGGTGTTCTGGCTACCATTGATTTCGGATTTACTTTTCATTTTGTATTGTTGTACACTGAACTGGCTAGCCCTGGTGTTTCAACTACAAATTTCTGATTTTCTCTGTGTGCTGCCGGTGGTTGTTTTACAGCTGGATTGATTTTCTCTGGTTATTTACAACTCTGGCTCTGCAGCGTGCCGAACGCTGGGGATTGGTCCCACGTTTGATAGTGAATGCATCGCATCGTACGGTTCTACTTCTGGTACTTCCTTGCGGTGGCCTTCATCAATCATTACTGTTACAGCGACGCAAAGGAGAAGACAGAGGAGACACAGGGCACTTGCCCGATCCCTGTGGCACAGGTTTTCCAAAAAGGGACAGGAATTGACAAAGAGTCAAATTTTTTGGATTCGAAGTACACTGGCAACCCATCATTCCCGAGACGGTCATCATCTCAAGCTGATCTCGAAGGCCATGAATCGATACCAATTAGAGGACTCTTACCCCTGGCGTTGTGTGTGCAACCGCCTCAACAAGAAATCTCATGTGCACTGTCCGATGTGCAAGAGGCATTGGACAACCGGCTGGCGTCACGAGACGCAACCAGCATATGCCTGGGAAGCCGAAGAAGAAGGGCAGCCTTGGAAAGGCTGGGAATCGCCCCGTTCGGGGCGCCAGGCATTGAAGCCTGCAAGAAGCAAGAGCAATCGAGCCAGGAAAGGTCGTGGAAAGGGTGCGACTGGGGGAAACGAGACGTTGCAGCCATCCCCTTTTGCAGCACCGGCACAGATACCTCCGTGGCCGTCACCAGATGCAAGTTTTGTGGCGAGCAATATGCCCAGCAAGGGTCAAGCCAGTTCTGCATCTGTGGGCAACATTGTGAGCGGGACTGCCCAGGTCCCAGCCAGCGATCTTTTGATCGCTGTACGCAAGCAGTATCCAGACATTTCCAAGGCACCACCCGAGGTGAGGGAGGCAGTGGAGAAAGAAGAAGCCAGCAATTCCCAAAGAATTGGAGCCGATCTTCACCGAACCTCATCCCAGATCAACAAAGCCACCAAGCAACTGAACCAGTTGAGGGAAGCTCGCCGCCGGCACAGGGAACAGTGGCTGCGACACCTCAAGGATTCTATCACCGCTTGGGAGAATCAGATGAAGGCGTTTCAAGATCAACAGAAACAATATATCGATCAGACAAACAAGGCAAAAGCGGAGTTATCAGCTGCCAGAAGGAATCTACAAACGCTCAACAAGCTTGCAGGACTGCAAACCAGTGTGAAGCCCGAACATGCAGAGAGCCAGGATCTAGAGGATGGCCCAGGAGACCTGGATGCAACAGAGACTGCACTGACAAAGCAGGTACAAGATTGTTTGAAGCAGGCAGCAGCGATTGTCAACCCGCTAGATGTCCACGATATCATGGACTCAGACGAAGAAGGAGAGGACGCACCCAAAACCAAGCGGCAGCGATCATTGGAGCCATTTGGACATCAAGCTTCTCTGGCGCCGCAGGCATCTGGAGCTGCAGAAGGATCGATGTGAATTGGGGCGATGGGGCTGAGTGTCTTAGGAATTCACTCCATGCGCCAGAAACTCAGAGATGGGGAGGCGGACTCGCGGTTGAGGCCTATGCCACAGATGGGGAACTGTGGTGTGCAGCAAGCAACGAGTCACCTTGTGATCCATCCACCATGTGTATGATCCTTTGCCACAGCATCCGATGGGAAAGTAAATTCATGCCGACCTTTGTAGCAACAAAAAGGGCCGTGGATTTGCAACTTGAGGTATCCAATAACCTTCTCAATGATGGCTTTTGCCTCTCAGACCCGAAACATTTTCCAGCTTGGCCCATTTTTGGATCTATTTTGAAAAAGACCAATCAGAGTGCCAGGAAAGTTGTTACCTTTGCAACAGAATTGCAGCCACCTTACGATGATGATCCGCTGTCTTCTCCGAAGGCCGTGTTGATCTCCGGAAGGCAGGCTAGATTGCTCCATACTGAGGAAAGCACCGCACAGGGTCTTCACCCAGAACATGCTATGCCGCATGAAGGACAAGACGGTTGGAACTTTCCGCAGCCACCAGGATTTGTTCAGGACCTTTTTGCTTTGTTCGATGCCCAAGGTCTGCCACTTGCCACTCTGCAGGCGGAAGGATTTCTGATCAGAACGTGGTTTCTACATCATCAGCACTTCCCGCGCTGGAGAGTCCCGAGGTTCATTGAACTGGATCATAATTGGTTCAACTGGCAACCGGAAATTGAGAGAGCATGGAGAGACATGATTGATCAAAGAAGAGCAGTTTGGTTGAGTGTGGTACATCCTGATCCATACCGTCACTATGTCACCCGCAATGTAGTTGCCGATATCATTGTTGCGCAGGAGGAGGAGAGCGGTTTATTTGCAGGTTTGTTGACAGTTGATCAACAAAGGCAGGATACCAGTAGAGCCTTTGCCATAGCCCTCTCACTGCCCCAACTTGTTAATAAGCAGATCCTCACAGTAGCTGCCGACCTTGATACAATATGCGGCACTGCAGATTGTCGGTTTTTCTTTCGGTGGACACAGTTGAACGATGAAACGGAAGTCCACCAGATGCAAAATGGTCATGGATTTCAAGCTCACATTTTTACCAGAAATGATGCTCTCACTGCAGCTTCCAGTAGCTTTGTGGATGAAGTTTCTTTCATGCAACGCAGGAAGGCTAAGGGCCTTCGACCTCTCACATTCAATGATCCTGAGGCCCCACCATGGTATCCCCATGTGAATGATGTTAGGGGACATGTGGCGCGAAATAACCAACTTCTGCAGGCAGCCGATGAATCTGATGATTCGCCTGCAGAAGATGCAGGGGACGAATCGGGGAGGAGTGAGGATCCTATCATCCACCCACCTGATGATGACAATGCGCGTCAAGCTGTCATGATGTTTCATTTAGATGATGTGCCAGTCCATGCCATGCTGGACTGGACGGATTGGCCTAGCATGATGCGTGAAATTGCATATCACTATGCAGTTGACAGAGAAGATGTGCTTGACTGCCACGAATTGAATGTAAGACTACCTGATGTTCCAGAAGGCATTGCCCCAGTCATTGTGCAACAAGTGCAAGATGTACCAGTGGGCACGGCATATGTTCTTATCCTAGTCGATGTGGAGGTTCATGGCCAGTGGATGGAAGCCCACTTCGGTGTTGCGCCGATTTTTGAACGCAAAGTTGTGGCGGTCCCATCATTGCTTTCACGGAATGTCTTACTGTCTCAGGCTCGTGTATTTGAGTTTTGCAGATTTGAAAAGATGCGATGCCTCGTTGAATTCAAGCATGTTCCATGGTATCTGCAAGACCCCAACCCGAGACGAGCCATGTTTGGAGATCATGCCAAAATCATTTTGCCCCCCTCAGATCGTTGTGAAGTTTCTACAGGTGAGCTTTTAGCTGACAGCAGGCAGCTCACGGTTGAAGATTTCTGGTCAAGATACTATGAGCCTTCTAGCCCTGCCCAGAGTAGTAGTGGCACAGTTGACTCTAACGTTTCTCCCAGTTTGTTGGATTCAGAAGATATACGAGCGGAATACGGCCAGGCAGATGATACATATGATGATATCAGTGTTATGCAGAGACCGTCCTCCTCTTCTTCTGATCCACTTCACCCGACTGCCGATGAGCATGCCAATCAAACTTGTCCTGCTGATTGCAACAACACTTGTGTCGCTGATCTTCTTGAAAACGATCTTCATGAAAACCCTCCTGGAATTCCATGGCCACTCTGGTTTCGACATTTTTTCAAGAATTTTGCTGACCTACATGAAGTGGAGGATGTCAATGAAGGCCCAGTGGCTTATGTGCGCACGTGGTATCTCAATTGCCTTGAAGAAATAGCAAGTGAAGACACGTGTTGTCAGATTGAGCCAACGGCCACTAGACTGGTTGCATGATATACAGCAAAGATGGAGAGACAGAATTGATGCCACCAAGCCTGTCCACATGGCCTGGGTTTATCCGAAACCCAAGGACTCGCCCTTTGAACACACGATAGGGCATTTGATTGTGTTTCAGCAGCCAAACCCGAGGAATGTTCCAACTCTTCTCAGTTTCCAATTTCTGGCACTCCGAGATGGTACGGGTCATGCTGCAATGGTCTTGAGAAAAGATGCCTCACCAGAGCATGTGGTTGAAGTCGCCAAGCTCAGTAGGGTTTGCCAAGGCAGGCGCTGCACCTTACATAGAGGAACGCATGGAAGCAGTTGGGGTCTTGCTTTGAATACTGGAGAAGGGCTTAAATTGATTATCCCTTCTCCAGGAGAACGAGCGCATGAGGAACTCCATTGGAATCGGGGTGTTACCCTTGTCTTCCCAGATATGTTTGTTGCAGATGTCCCAGTCCTTTCGTTTAGGATTGAAGATTACCCTCGTTTCGTACAAGACTTGCATGCCTTGTGGGTTCAACAAGCCATGATGCATCCGGCCTCTCGTGAAAAGACGGTTGAAATCACCACGTGGTATGACCTGCCCTTCAATGATCAGGCACGCAATGTTCACCTCGACGATGATTTTAGTTCTTGGGAGCAATTAATCCGAAATGCCTGGTCAGACCTTGCTGACGTAGATGAGCCGTTCTCCTTTGTGTTTGTGAACCCAGTCCCTCCACCAAGTCCACTGGATCGCATTCATGTCTTGGCCTTTCAGCAGATCCCTGCTGACCAAAGTGGGGTTATCATCACCAAATATGATAATGCCTTGTTGCAAGGAGCACCGACATCAACTGCAGCAGTGGTTCCACAGCAAGTGACCCATGAAGACCTGCTCAGGTGTGCAGGCACCGCACTTGAATGTTCACTTAGAAGGTCTCAAGTTCAATGTAGCACATGGCATATAGGTACTGAGATCCGTGATCAGCCCTTTGCCACGTCCCATGGTCTAGGGTTTAATGTTCTCATTCATAGGCAGGCTTTGGTTTCGTGGGAGTCTGATGAAGAGAATGAAACGGAAGAGCAGAACCTTTTGCAACATCAGGGGCACTGGGCTGACAATGGAGAAACGACCCAGTCTGAATTTGTACTTGACTTGCAACGGACCTGTCGTCAACAAGGTAAAGAGCCCACTGCTCTGAAACTTGCCACTTGGTTTCTTGCCCCAGGACAGGAGATCTTCTCTTGTCTTCAGCCGAGATTGATTGAATTGCCCAGCGACACCACTCAATGGGAACAGTGGATACATGATGCATGGAACGATACTGCTGTACGTCATTTGCCAATTGTTTGTTCGCTGGTGCACCCTTCACCAGTGCTGATGGAAGGAACTGTTGATGCACACGTTCTAGTGGTACAGCAGCCCACTGGGGCAACAATAGGAGCTCTGGTCACCATTCTTGATACCACTAAACAGCCTAGGGTTGTTAGGCAAGCTTCCCTGCTTAATGCTGCTTTGAGTTATGATAATGTCTTGTTGGCCGCTGGACTGCATGACGTTTACGCTCAATTCATTATTTGGCATGATAGGGATCAGTTGTGGCCAGGCACACAAGTGCTCGGCAAGGACGGGGCTGCAATCACTCTTCAAGTTTGGGGAAAGTGTGAGACGAAGGGCCATTCAGCTGCACCATCCAACCCCTTCACTGCGGTTGAGAGCGCCTGTAGCTCCAAGCCGACTGACCCTACAGAGGAAAGGGAGCCCAGGCGCCTAAGGATTGACATGAAGAACGCTGTCGATGCACAGCTATGGCTGGATTCGCATTTTATACTGCCATGTTTTGACATTGAAGCTCAGCTGGAGGGCACAGCTCAGTGGCATCCGTCATCCCTTGAATGGATCAGAGGTGAAGATTGGTTCGCCTCTGATCATGCTGTCGACAAGATCAGGATCTACTATGATGGGTCTTTTCTTAAGGATAAAGGCACCATTGGCTATGCAGCAGCAGCCTTTGTACAGACACAAGGTAGATGGTTATTTGCCGGAGCCATCTCAGGTAAAGGTGACAGTGCCGATGAGTCAGCATCATACAGTGCAGAGCTTCGAGCTGCACTTTTGGCCCTTAAATTTCTGTATGATTTGGTCAAAATCCAGTATGAAGTCTTCGGAGCCAAACCAAGGTGTGAGCTTGTGTACGACTCCCTCACTGTAGGAAATCAAACAGTGGGACTATGGAAATCTACCAGGGCTGTCCATGCGTGTCATTTGGCTCGCAGTATGTTGCGACTCTGCGAAACCAGATTTGATCTCACATGTGAACATTTCTTTTGCCCAGGCCACAAGGGTGAACCAGGGAACGAGTTGGTTGACACTCTTGCGCTCTGTGCCGCTCTAGGCAGCCCATTGCAAGACTGGCAACACTTCATTTCCTTCACACAAAAAAGCCAGTTTGTCAAAGCTATTGAATGGGCTTGGATGTTGCACACACAATGGAAAGATGCAGAGTTAGCCAGCACAGTTTGGACGTGTCCAGCGAGGCCGTCCACGCAGCCTGATCTGCATGTGCTGCCGTCTAGTGAGAGCATTGACAGGCGTCCCAGCTTCCTACAATTTACATTCCAGTTGAGAGTCGCCACTTGCAACATTCTCACACTCAAGAGTAGATCGGCAAAACAACACTGTACTATCACGGGGACAGATGGCCCTGCAAGGCTTGAGTGGATTTTGAGAAGTTATGATGATTTGGGTATCCACATTTTTGCGCTTCAGGAAACCAGGATGCGTACAGTGAAGCAGACAGCTGATGAAAGGTACCACCTGATTAAGAGCCCAGCAAATGAGTCGGGCCAATTCGGCATGCTGGTTGGTATTTCCAAGACCCATCCCTTGGCTAGCCAAACTGCAATTGAAGGAACGGAATCAACAAGTGACCTCTTCTTTCAAGAAAGTGATTTCACTATTGTTGCGACCACACCGCGCTCATTGATTCTCAAAGTGCAACGGATAGGGTTTCGCTGTATTATCATCGCTGCCCATGCTCCGCATACAGGGGCTGCGCTGTTGGAGATTGAAGAGTTCTGGCACTCCATTGATTCAAGTATCCCTCATGCTTTTCATGATTGGCCCAAACTTGTGCTTGCAGATGCCAACTGCAGGCTTGGCAGCCAACCCTGTGACCGAATAGGTGACTGGCAAGCTGAAATCATGACAGATAAAAAGTGAACCTTTTGCTCAATTTGTGGCGCGATCAGATGTGTTTGTGCCATCCACCTTTGAACGACTGCACACGGGAGAAGGTGGAACGTGGCAACATCAGTCTGGATTGTGGACGCGCAACGATTATATTGGTATTCCCTGTTCATGGCCTTTGCAGACGTGCATGTCCTGGATCCCAAGCGAAGTTGATTTTTCGATGATCAAAGAAGATCACCGCACAGTGTGTGCGGAAGTTGCGTGGACGATTTGTGTTGCCTCTGACAGTCGTTGTACCAATCAACGTGGCAAGCCTCATGTCGATGAATTTTGCCCACGCAAAATTGGGAGGTGTGCTGGCAGCACATATCCGGATTTTACCGTTGATGTTCACACTGATGCTATTAACATCCAGGAAATACTGCTTGCATGTAGAGACAAGAAGAAGAGAGCGCCCAGGAAGCCACGCAAAGAGACTCTTTCTGCACATACATGGGGGTTGATCTGCACCAAGAAGCAATGGCGCAATAAGCTCCACGAGAATACCAGTCTGCGGAAATCTACCCTGCAAGCTATGGTTTTCGCAGCTTGGCGACTCAGTCGCTGGGAACAAGATGCCACTCCGCATGTCCAGGGTTTTGACCACCTTCTTTGCCAATTGGATTGTGCCATTGCACAAGCTCTGCATTGGTTTCAACGGTTAGGTGCAGAGGTGACGCGTGCTCTGCGGCATGATGACCGAATGTTCTTTGCCGGCCTTATGCAGGAGGCGTCGGACTTCTTGGCGCCAAATCATGTCAAAGATATGTGGAGAATCATTCGTCGCCACTTGCCAAAATTCCGATCTCGTAGGATCGGTCAAAATCCGCAGAAGATTGAGCTCTTGAAGGACCAGTGGGTCCCTTATTTTCAGCAGCTGGAGGTTGGTGCAACTCATGATGCTGCTGTGATTGTAGAGACCTGCCACGCACGCCAGAAGAACATGCCCATTGTGCAGTATGACTTCCAGATTGATGATCTCCCCTCGCTCATTGAAGTTGAAGATGCCATTCGGACTACCCAGCCTGACAGGTCTACAGGGTTTGATCCCATACCGTCTAGCCTTTTCCGACGGCATGCAGTGGATCTTGCCAAGATGTACTTTCCTTTAATTTTAAAGCAGTGTCTTTGGCAGAGCGAACCACTAGCTTCGAAAGGAGGTCAAATGGCCGTGATCCACAAGCGAGGATCCTCCTTGCTAGCTGAGAACTACAGGGGTATCATGCTTTTGCCCACCATAGCTAAGCGATTTCATGCCCTGATCCGCTCACGTCTGATGGAACGTCTGCACAGACAGAGACCAGCCGGTCAGATTGGAGGGTTTGCTCATATGCAGGTCCCTTTTGGATCACAGCTTCTTCAAGTTTTTGGACGTATTATGGATGCAAAAGGATTTTCATCGGCCATTGTCTTCTTTGATTTGACTAATGCGTTCCATAGACTTATCAGGGAATTAGTCTCGGGCATCCATGTGCCGGAGGCTATTGATGAAGTGTTGCAAGCATTAGATGCTGAAGGGGTGCCTGTGCAGGAGGTTGCAACCTTGCTCGACCTGCCCCATCTGTTGACGCAACTGAATGCCCCACCTTTTTTGATCCAGCTGTTGCAAGATTTGCATACCGATACATGGCTTAAAGCTCCGGGCGATGAGCGGTTCATTATCACCAGACGTGGCACACGTCCCGGCTCCCCGCTAGCAGACTGTATCTTTCATATCCTGATGGCAGATGTTACGAAAGATATCAATTCCTGGATGGGAGAGCAGGTGGAATTCCAGAACATCCTCACAGAGCTGGATATTGAGATTGAAAGCATTGTCTGGGCAGATGATCTGGCCTTGCCGCTTGCCTCTAAGCATGCAGACCACCTTCCTAAGTTGATTGAGTCTGCAATTCGCCATGTTCATCAAGTGTTCTTGCAGCGGGGGTTCTTATTAAATTTTAGCAAAGGGAAGACTAGTGTGGTAGCCACCTTCAAAGGGAGCGGGGCCGCGGAGTTGCGCCGACAATACCAATTGAGTGATCGACCAGGTTTCACCCTGGCACTAGGGGACCAGGAAGCCTTCATCCATTTTGTTGCACATTACAAGCATCTGGGAACTATCTTCAGTTCGTCTCATTCATTGGATCTGGAGATTTCTACTCGCATCGGGATGGCCCGAGGAGCATTTGCTCAGTTGGCAGCACCTGTGCTTTGCAACAAACATATTCCTGTGCACACCAGATTGCAGATGTATCGCGCCCTAGTGGAATCGAAACTGTACTTTGGATTAGGAGCCTGGGCACCCACCACAGCCCGGCAGAACGCTAAGATCCAAACTGCAGTGCTTTACATGTTAAAGCGTGTGTTGAGGCTCAGCAAGGAAGAGCATGAAACGCTCACAACCGCCGATGTTTTCCATCGAGCCGGCCACAGCTTCCCTAGAGCGAGAATGGCACTGGATAGACTCCTCTATGCACAAAAACTTTGGCAGCACGGCCCTGCCATGCTCCAGCACATATTGCATATTGAAGAAGGTCTGCGCACAGATTCCTGGCTTTTCGGACTGAAACATGACCTGGCTTGGTTGCACCAGCTTGAGCCTGATTTGCTTCCTTGGCTTGGTTCTCGCAATGATCTGACTCATGTCTTTGATTTCTGGCAATCAGGGACTCGCCAATGGCGAGTGCGAGTGAAAAGAGCATGGTCTCGGTTCCTCATGCAAGAAAACATGACTAATAGCTTGTTTTCCCTACACAAGACTTTTTTCAAAGTTTTCGAGCAACATGGAGGCGCCTTCTTGCCCTCGCCGTTTTCGGCATCAGACCATGCGAGACAGGAGTTCCAATGCCATTGCGGAAAGAGTTTTTCCAGTCAGCAAGGATTAGCTTGCCACCAACGGCAGAAACATCAGCAGTTTGCGCCAGAGCATAAATTCCTCGTAGGAGAGACGTGTCCTGCTTGCCTGAAATTCTTTTGGACGAAACAAAGATTGTATTTGCACCTGGCGTATGTTTCTAGACGCACAGGGCCCAATCGATGCTTTCAGCAACTTAGTCAGCAAGGATTTCAGGATTTGCCCAATGGCCAATACTTTCAAGTCAAGCCTTTGGAGGTTAGAGGATTAGCTCGTGTGGAAACTGTCCAGGCGCAAGGACCACTTTTGCTTGCCGATGATCATCGAGCACAAGAGATCCAGCAACTTACTCAAGAGCTGGAGACTATTCAGAAGGAACTGCAAGTTGATATGCCCGAAGACGCTTATCAAGCCTCTCTCAGATTGCGACAGTCCTTGTCCAAGACTACAGAGGAATGGTTTAGTGATTTTCAGGCTGCAGGTTTTGATGAGAGCTTGGCGGAAGATTTACCTGATCGCTGGATCCTTTTGCTGGATGATGCTGATGGGAACTTCGGGCCATGGTTTGAGGCTGAGTTTATGCGATGGGGACAAGATGATTTGCCAGATGTGATCGCCGAATTTCTTGATGGCAGGGCAGAAATTTTGGTTGATGAAGCATTCTGTGAACTGACATCTGTTTTCCCACGATTTGAGCTCTTGCAGAAGCGAACCTCTCTCCAAGCCAGATTGCGACGTCTCACTGTTGAAATGCAGACCCGCTTTCCGCACAGAGACGTGCGAAAAGGCTCAGCAAATGTTCAAGAAAGAGCTGCTACTGCAGCGCATGTACCCGCACAGTTTGATGAGCAAACAGCCCTTTTCCAGCAAGTTCGAGCAACACGCTGGTTGGACCTTCCTCATGAAAAGAAGGTTCCCCTTTGGAGCCAGCCTAACTGTAAACCAACATTCCTGATCGCACATCTCTTCAGTGGTCGAAGAAGGGAAGGAGACATCCATGCACATCTTGCGAGATGGGCAGCAGCCGTTAATTTGCAGGTCATTGTGCTCTCATTGGACACCGCGAATTCTGCGACGATGGGTAATCTCCTCCTTCAGTCAGTGACATGGCAACAGCTCATTCGATTATATAGGGAAGGACGCATTGCGGCTACCATTGCAGGAGCCCCATGTGAGACCTGGTCTGCAGCCAGGCACCAGCCCATTGTGATCGAGGGCGATGCAGAGGGTTCCCATGGACGAGGACCGAGACCGCTGAGAAGTGCTGAGAGAATTTTTGGATTGCAGGGACTGACGAAACGTGAGCTCAGGCAGCTCAGTCAAGGCACACATTTTTATTTACAAACCACCATTACCATTGCTTGGGCAATTTGCACTGGGGGACTGTATGTAAGCGAACATCCAGCTCCGCCGGATGACCCACAAATTGCAAGTGTTTGGACTGCTCCGTGGACGGAACTTTTGCGTCAACACCCGGAAGTCGCCCTTCACATTATGAGTCAGTGGAAGTGGGGTTGCGCTATGATCAAGCCCACGGGGCTTCTGGCGCTGAGGATGCCGCGTTTTGCTCAGTCAATGTATCGCAGACAGCTCCCTGAGGCTACCCGGCCGACACAGGTTGCGATAGGAAAAGGGCCTGACGGACTTTTCAAAACCAGTGCCTTGAAAGAATACCCAGAACCCTTTTGCGCTGCGATTGCAGGTGCAATCATTGATGAGTTGTACAGACGCAATCGTAGCAGCCTGTGCACACCAGTGGATCCCCCGGAGGACGACCTAGTACAGTGGGTCATTGAAGCAGAGAAACTCTGTGGGCAAATCCGTGCAGATGCCACGTGGTTGCCCGACTATCAAGGTCGTTAAGGGCAGGTGTGCAATTCGACGCATGTTTTTGTCAATTCGATGCTGACTGCGGCAAGGGTACGACCCTTTCTAGCGCTTAATGAAAAAAAATGTGTATAGCATGAAACATTTTAGCCATATCGAAATGAACAGAAACCATACCTCAACTCCCGCACAAGCAAAGGAAATGCTAGGATTGAGGGTGATGTATCAGAGATGTTCCGAGACGTCCCTAGTGTTGCAGAGTTTCTTTCGCACATCGTCACGCTAAGGAATTTCCGAGATCGTCCAAAGGGAGATTAGTTGCAGATAGTTTCAGATCTTCAGTTCACAGTTTGAACTCCGAAATTTTCAAGCGTAGAATGCGTAGGAAGAAACTTGTGGAGTCGTGAAACTGTACAGTGACCTCCACGTTTTGGATCCGTCACTTTGAATGGACATAAAATGGATCAAAATGGTGCATATCAATATTCTTGCTCGATCTTGCTCGACTCTCACCTTGGTATGAATTCTTTCTTTCCTTGGATCTCATGAGCCAACAGGTTCAATAGATCTGTACCTCAAAGTGACCGGTTGGATGGTTGGGATGGTTGGATGTCAGTGGTGAAGCCGTGAAACCACGATCCAGGTACTTGCTGCTCACTCCGAGGTATTGGCCAGGCAGTTGCAGGAGATAAGGGGAAAAGTGTCTGGTTCTGTGCAGAAAATGTCACCCATTTCCCTGATGGCAAAGTTGCAAAAAACTCTTAGATCCTTATGACACTTGTTCAATGGCCATTTCAGGAAGCGATTTTGTAAATTGGAGGTAACCATTTATAAGGCCTATATATATATATCTATATCTATATCCATATCTATATATATATAGATAGATAAGGCCTTAATTTCAGGGAATATCCCAGCACAACATGGCCAAAGATACGGTACGTTTACGTAGCTCCATGTATTGGACTTGTTCGTTGATCTTTTCAAATCCGCAGGACACCGCAGAACTGGATCTTCATCAGGCCTGGGCTGTTTGTTTTGGTGTTTCTTTTTGAATGGAAACAACGGTTGAAAGATGATGTTTTTTTTCTTGGTTGACTTGTTTCTGATTCATGTTTAACGCGAGTTTAATGTTTGATATTTGGGGCCCGGGGTCCAAATGTTGGATCAGCACAAGCGAAGTCAAGCAAAGTTTGGGGAGGCCAGTCATGAGGCGGTTGATCTGGTCATGACCTTAGATTCAAAGCTGGTGTTTTTGTCTTTGACCCAGCTTTTTATCCCAATTTTTTTAATGATGTTTGTGGATATTTGTGATATAAACCCATTGATGTTTTTTTTTGGATATGGAATTTCATCAAAGGTTTTTTTCCCCATTCCTCCGAATTCCACAAAATTGTCTTCTTTTCTGGTTGTTTTTTTGTGGGGCTGTGATCATTTTTTAAATGTCCTCTGATCTGCAAGTTACTTCCCAGCAGCTTGCAGATCTTGAGGTGGTGAAATTCTGCTATGGCGAGGCCAACTCTACCAGCATGTGGCATGTGCACATGAAGAATGGGTTGTGAACTGCTGAAGTCACGTTAGCTAATCAATTATGGCTTGCTGGAAAATCCACCATGGATCATTTTCCCATTAAAACATCATGTAGAGGATTTTCAATTGCCGTGTTTGATTACCAGAGGGTACTGATTGCTAACTTGTTCTGACGTTTGGTTTTGGAGGGTACGGCCTCCTGAATCGATATGTGTTCAGATGGAACATCAAAGCACTCCAAAATGCTGGACACTTCAAGAGTATTTGCCTGCTCAATTGGCCCTGCAAATGGATCACACATTGAATGTTTCAATATGTCTCACCCATTTTACAACATCATTTTGCAAATATCGAAACACATATCGAAACATCACCCATTTTGCAGGGCGTCTTGTATCGTTTGGTAGCCCCGCAAGGTTCGAGAAGATGCCTTTGTTCCCACCTCATCCAAGGCCGGTAAACTGGTGGCCGAAATGGCTCATCCGTTCGCCGTTAGCCCGAAACGGGGAGAGAAACACAGAAATCACGGAGAAATGGAGAAATCATGGAGAAATGATGTGAAATGATGCGAAATGATGTGAAATGACAGATTTATCACACAAAGATGCAGATTCTGTACCTATTTTTGTGCAAGAGAGGTCCGAGAATCTGCGAGGGTGGAGTCATCCTAAATTTGACTCCAACATCAAAAAACGTGTCCAACATGTACGAGTGACCGGAGGTCAATGAAGAGATCCTGAAGATATCGCTTTTGCCTCAGTGAAGAATGGCACGCCCAAGGTGACCCCAGGAGCAAAACATGTATTTTTTTTCATGGCAAAACTTTGATTCTTGATGGTTGCAAATATCACTTTACACGCTCTTTCAATGCCAATATTCCAGTTTACTTTTTCAAGTTTCACTGGGTTAAAGCTTGATTTTATTTTCTCTGTAAACAGCTAGAATTCCCCACTTTTTGCTTCAGCTAATCATAACCCAATAAAACAGAGTTGAATTCCCCACTTTAACCGCAATAAGCAATTTCATTAGTTATTGGTGTACCCTCTGGTAAACTAACAGTTTGCTATTGAAAATCACCATTTATAGTGGATTTACCCATGAAAAATAGTGATTTTCCATAGCTTTTTATATGTTTACCAGAGGCTAATCTTCTTTTTGGGTGCCGAAAAATCGTCGAAAAATCGAGGTCCGACTTTGGGCTGCCGGCGCTGTCGGATCTCTGTGCCGCACGGTTGGCCGCTGAAGCCACCACAGCCAACGTGCGGATGCAGAGATGGAAGGTTTTGATCTGGGGATCCACCAGAAATTTTCAGATTTCTCTGGGGGATTTTCGATGGATTTTCCAAGAATGAAGTCATATGGAGGATGGGAATCCCACAAAACATCATCATGATCATCATGCATTGAATGATTGCCAAGATAATACCTCATTAATACCCAGTTAACTGGATGTTTAACTCACCAATCAAACATCCCTGGAGTCGATTCGTTTAAAAGTGTTTTTTTCCATGGATGTTTCTTCAACCAATCATAAAAACAAAAATCCAATGATATCATATCCCATTGATTCCCATTGGATGGTGGATTATTTAGAAAAACCAGTGAAAGATCCAGTTGAGTGGGGATTATATTCTGATAATAAATGGGATCAGGATTATAGTCCATCATATATTCTGATAATTATATTCATATCATTCTGATTATTTAGATAAATCATGAACCACTGAATGATTGAGAAGTATGGGTCAGGATAATTTGAGGCTCAGGTGCTGATTTTGGTCATTTTTTTGCTGCAACCATTCAATCTTGGCATCCAAATTTGAGCACACAGGGGATGGGTTGGGGCAATGAATGGTGGTGAAATTAGACAATTTGGTTGATGATTACTTAATCTGGATCTAACTTTAGCTTTTACTTATGAAATATAAAATCCTGAAATTGGTTGAAGTGAAAATCTAAGGACCCTCTCACATTGGATTGGGAAAACAACTCTAGATTTCCCATAATTTTCTCATTCATTGTTTAACTGGCCTTTGAAGGAACATGACCTAAACCAAGGCAGGTTCCGTTTTTCTGTTTTTTGGTTGCCGTGTCCCCAAACGTATTTCTTTTGCAAAGACCCGGTCACCCAATGGGCCTGAGCCATCTGGCTTTCAAATGTCTAAGAAAAGTTCCAGAACTGACAACTCGGGAGTGAAGGGAAGATGTACAGCAACCCCAAATATTTGTGAAAAGCACGGTTTCCTTGAGATCTCTCTCAAATCAATCCATTGATGCACCCATTTGGAATGATATCGGAATGATTGTGAATGATAATCCCCACTGTCCAAGTTGGTTCATCCAAATGTTGGTTCAGCCGTGTCCCTGTCCATCCTGGGTCCAGGGTCCATCCTGTCCATCCTGAGGTTGTTGCAAGTGTTCGGCTGTGCGAGGAGGGGACTTTTTTTTTCTGTCAAGATCATAGGTATGTAGAAATATATGACATATGTTATCCCCAAAAGATGCTGGACAGTTCCAAGATCGCAATTTTTACCGATTTTGCTGTTGGTCACTTTCTATCTATGGCTGTTGCCAACGAAGTGGCTGGATATTCGCAGGGTGAATTTGGGGCATACCCCATGTTCAAACATGGGTCGTTCGCAGCTTGTCAGCTTGTTCATAAAATCCCGGCATCTGTATCTTTTTGTATCTTTTTGTCATCATTTCCAATCTGGATTAGGGAGTATATACTTCCATCAAGCAAAGGGGATCCATGTCTTGAGGGAAAAAAAGGGATCGCCCAGAGACTTGGGACATTTGCCTCTGATTTTCGGCCATGTGTTCTCCCTAAGACCCTAATTTAACCTGGCCATGAAACACGACCCGTTGGTAGATTTACGTATTTCCTAAATGGTCCCCGCTTCCTTGACCAAGTGTTAGAGTACCAGAAGGTAATATGACATATGAACACCCATCTAGAGTGGTAATCTAACAGTTTGCCACTGGTAAATCCTTTAAACTCACGGAAATCAGGTGGTAAACTCATGTAAACTCAATAAACATAATAAACATTAGTAAACCATCCCCAAGTCATCACCATTAGTGGGATTTCAACCAGCCCTGGATTTATGGCAGGGTTTCCACAGGACTATGGCCTCCCGAGACTGCGAACTGCATTGGTGAAAGGAATCGTGGAGGACAGCGCTCGGAAATCCAACGTTGGAAGTGAGAAAAACGTCGTTTGGAAGACGTATTTACAGAGGGAACTTACATTTTTCTGGACTTTTTGTGAGATTTTTATGGCCGTAACTTTGGCAGCTCTCAGCAGTTCACATAAAAGAGACAGGTTGTGTATAGTCACGCAGTGCAGCTTGCAAGGAAAAGAGGGAAGTGTGTGAGACCTTATGTATATAATGCCAGTACATCACCATATTATATATCGAATTATATATATATACATTATAAATATAATTATACCATATATATATTATATATATATATAGATTATTTACCATTATATATAAGTA